AAAATCCAATGAATGAAGGTTTTGGAATCCTTGGGTAGTCAATAAACCCTGTCTCTTATACACATCTAGATGTGTATAAGAGAGTGAGATTGTACTTAGGGAATAAATGTTTCTTGAGAAGCCAACGAAAACCAAGATAACAAGAAGCATGTCGTAACTGACTACGAAGCCGCCTATTAATGGTCCGGGATAACTGGGTGACATGCCGGGTCATCTTCATTTTAGGATCAAGAAGAACGCCAAGATTTCCAATTAATGCTGTAGGTTCAATACACTGATTACCAGATTGAAGGTGTGATGTTTAAGGATCTTATAATGATGGGCTGATGATGCAATCAAGAATTCTGTCTTCTTCTTGTTATGCTTCAACTACTTTTAGTCATCCATGACTGCAGATCTTTGATGCATTCGGAGAGCCTATATATGGAGCAAATTGCATCACCAGGAACAATTTAGGGTGCAATGATAAATATAGCTGAATGTCATCAGCTTAAATATGGTACTGAACAAAATGTTTGTCTAGATAAAGCCCAACATCAGGAATGTAGAATGTGAAAGCTTGGGGTCCAGTGACCAGTGGCGTCAAGAGGGGGAATCGGGGGTCGCTGCCACGGGGGGCCCGGACCAAGATGAAAAATTTTCGGGGTAAGAACAAAATCTCCATAGGGCCCGAGCCCAAACCAGGATGAAAACTTTTGTTGTCAGAAGAAACTCTACATTATGGTTTTATGGGCGTCTTTCTCAGTCATTCTGTATTTTTATTACTAGATGAATAATCTCCCAGGGGAATAGTCCACCCAATGCTCTCCCGTTCCAAACCAGATGCCCCCACCCCCCTCAATCCATAGGTGCTTCACCGTCATGAAATCTCTGTCTGTGGTCATCACAGATCTGGGGGGATGTCATTTCCTGCATAGAGACTTTCTTTGTGGTTGGGAATCTTCAGTGGAGAAGGGCTGCGGGTCAAATGTAATTTAACAATACATGTTATAACATCTGTTGGTGATTTTATGTTCCCAGATTACCTAATAAAGAAGATATTATTTGAAATATTTTACTGGGAACCTGATGTTGTTGGTTCTGCTTGTACAAGGTTTGAAACACACTAGATATACTATAGGCTTGATGGATAATGCACATGCCATATTTTTATTATCGTTTATTCATCAGATTATTCTGATGCATCTACATTGCAAAAAAAATAATCACATGGAATCATATTCATGTATGTGGGTTTGGACAAATAGGGTCTTAGGAGGAGACTTAATCTGGGGAGCGGCCGAGTGGGGGGTCCCAAGTGAAAGGGGGGCCCCATATGAGGTGTTGCCCCAAGGCCCTTACTGGCTCTCGACGCCACTGCCAGTGACAGACCCTTGAGGAACACCAAAACAGAGAATATAGGAGTTCGAGAAAGAGTTAAGGATTCAAAAAAACTGGAACCAACTCTTAATTTTTTATGTGAATATACATTGTGAAATTGTCCATGGTTTTGATCATGTCATATCACTCATGACCACTTCTCATAAAATATGAGCAAAACCACAGGTATTTGTCACAAAAAAAACTGTAGTGTGACAGAGATTTGAATTAGGTTGTGATGGGTAGAGTTTTAAATTAGGTTGGGATGGATCACTTGACACTCATATATGGGCAAATCACAGGTACTTGTCAAATACGATTTCTAGTGTGGACGAAGTTTCAAATTACGTTATAATGGGTCACATCACTCAAATAATATAGGAAAATAACAAAACATTTTCACATAAGGCATGTAGTGTGGACAGAATTTCAATTGAGGTTGGGATGGCACAAGCACTTATTCAAGGTTAAAGATATAGAGTATTTTTGGAACTGAGTTAAACTTCAACAATAACATTCAACAAAAACTTCAATAAAAACTTCAACAATGACTTTCAATATTTGAATTGCTTATTCTATATATTTACTTAAGTTATTAGATGTCAGTTTAAAAAATTAGAACAAAGACATAATACAGAATACTGTACAGTATTCTATAAACAGTGGAACGACACTAGTTTATTTTGTAATTTAGTAATTTTAAATCAAATACAGTATTTGCCACTATGATTATAAACATATCTACCTTAAGCCTGGTTTCATAGAATTGCTACACAGTGCTACAGTGTTTTGTACTTGCAGTGCGTAGCTGTTCCCAACGCAATCAGGAATGCTCCGTGATTCAACTGACCAATCAGCGTTGCCAAAGGAGTCGGCGAAAGCGTGTAGCTATTTTATGGAAACCAGGCTTACGATCGAATTGTATCTAGTTAGCACTTAAGAAATATACAATCTTTGATCACGGAAAAAAAAAACCAATTATTGATAATTAAGTTTTAATTCATATTTGACAAGCAAACAAAACAGACCACAAGAATAAATGATACATTGTATTTGATGTCAACTTACCAACTTGACTCAATACCATTATAAAAGGCCTTTTTTCCAAAATAGCGGATAAGAAACAAATTTTTTGTAAAACCTAGCCTTTGATTTTTATACTACATTTTGCTAAGCTATTTATAATAATCACATGAAATGTACTGAAAGAATTCAATATAGCAGATAGAAATCATTAGTAGCTAAGACACAATAAAATATCTGGCAACAGTACTTAATGCGATCATCTTAATAGCGGAAAAAATTGGACTGCAATGATGAAGTAGTCTGGGCAAGCATATGCAGGAAGTAGTGAACTACTAATCATGTTCTAATGATAAATGTCTGTGAAACTATTTGCAAAGGAGGGCGTGGTCATATTGCCATGCGATTATATGTTAAAGTTGAATCAAGATTTAATATTTTCAAACAGGAGGTAACTTATGATAAAGTATTGGATGTAATTGAAAAATCATGTGCAGATGTGAGGTGCTGGATTGACTTGTAAATATATGCTTCAAACTCAAGCAAGCAGTGAATATACTACTGTTTTACCTATAAGTAGAAATTCTTTTCCCTTAAGGCACTTTTTTTTACACACACAAGTATGGCAATGAGGAAATTGGTCAGTGCACTAGGAGACAACCCACACTGTTTTTAAATAGAAATATAACAAGAAACCAACACCTTAACTTCCCACCTGAAGGATGAGGAAATCACAATGAAGTCTGAAAACACACAACAAAAATATCAGCATTGGTTTTGAACTACAGTAGACCTCGATTTTACGTACAGTACGGGACCGGAGGGAGTACGTAAATCGGGGGATTCGTTAAATAGAGGTTGGGTTAAATTTGTGGTAACCTTTGACCTAATACGTACGTAAAGCTCAATATACGTATGTATGAACGAACGATGTTACCTAGCTAGGCTAGACCAAGCCTCTAGGCCTACGAATAAAACCATGTGTTTAGTGTTTTTATTCATCACTTTACGATGTCATAATAAAGTGTTCAAATAAAACCGTGTGTCTAGTGTATTAATTCATCACTTTATATCTTTTATTTAATTAAAGAACATAAAAATATTGTAAGATTACCTACACGACAAAGGTATAACTTGGGAATTCCCCTTCATGCCTATTTTAACCAACAGAGCTGTGGTGTTGTCTGGGCCTGTTGAGACCAATGAGACAAACTAAACCCATGTGCGCTGCACTGGGCGAGCCAACCAATTAGCGTTCGTGTACGAAACTATGCCTACTCAGTTTCGTGTAGAAAATTTGACCAGAAAAGTGTTTCCATGGTTTGCCACATGAAGCTAAGGAGGAAAGCAATTATTTTGAGCACCATCGGTAGTTGTTCATCTCACTCAGTTCACTTGGTTTTAGATTATAACAACCCGGTATTAGACTCAATCAACGTTGCTGTTTAATAAAAATGCATTGCATTATGGTCTGTTTATTGTTATAGTCTTTTTACTTATGGTTGCTCTGAAAAGGGCAGTTTGTTTTGAATATTTTCGGGGTTTTTGATGACGTCATCGTCGATACAAGGCGTACGTAAAACCAAGGGTTCGTATAACTGGGGTACGTAAAAACGAGGTTCTACTGTAGGTTTAGAACCTAGAAACATGTGTTCTAAACCAAAATCATTTGCTGCTCCGCTATGCTGAGGTCAGGTTTCCAGATGGGAGTTTGTGCCACTTTGTGTGAGGTGGGTCTGTGTATATATGTTTACACATTATGTTTGATAAGATATGTTAGTAAGTGTACATTAAAAAGCATAGTACATAATATGTGCAAGATTATATCAATAAACATACCTAGACACCTATCAAAAAATACCAAGCTTAATGTGGAAGAGGATCTTGATATTGAGTGGGATGATGATTAGCAGTGTAACATGACGATTCACATATTTCTACCTTGTTTAATTAAAGATGACATTCCCTAATTTAGTTCTACAGTAGAGTACTCGTCAGGGTCTAGGATTATCAGGCACAACATACCTTGATTGATAATGAACGCAGCGAGGTGAGCATGCCTACTAAGTGTAACTATTTTAGATCCTCAAGAATAATGTAATATAATGTTCCATGCAAAAGTTCCATCCTAGTAAAAGCCTACTCACTTAATTTGAGTCATTTCTATGCCACATGATCTACCCTAATATAATAAACCCACTCACAATTTTGGAGGTTTGGAATGAAAATTCTACATTTTGTGATTCTTAGGCATTAAGCCGGATTGTCTATGAGACCAAAGCTAGACCTGTTTAGCCAAGCCAAAATCAACCAAAATCCAGGATCAAAAGGGAACGCAAGAAATTTAGTACAGTAGTATCGAACATGGGTCTTCCTTGGACAGCTAATATAGAAAACCTGGAAAAATGTGGCCTCGCTACATTTTTATAACCTGTATATAGCAGTCGGTAAAATTTTAGTTTATATTTTTCCATAATTTGAGGGGCCCTTAGTTAAATTACCACCTCTTCCTACCCTCTCATTAACCCTGCATCTATCACCCTGTTACATAAAGCATTATGGGGAAGAATCTTATTTGAAAATAAAACTCCTTTCATTTCCAAATAGCTTATAATAAAAGCTGATGAGAATGACACAGCAATATTATATACTGATGACAGAAGTCACATGTTTTTGAATAACCTGTGATGACATAGATAAATTGATATGACTTTACAAATGGCAAAGATGATACATCTCTTTTTATCTAAAACTCTATACTTATGTATCACACACAAGAAAGGTTGCTTAATTTTAATGGCTTCAAATTGTCATTATTTAAAATATAAATTAAGATATCTTGTCAGAAATCTGAAAATAAATATTTTCTTTAACAATAATGCAATTTAATTTTAACATATCATAACTATTAATATAAACTAACAAAATGATATTCATTAGTTTGTTAGCCTCAAACCATTGTTAATTATTTATTAGTTCATTAAACATCATTTATATGATGAGATAATAACCTTGAATTATAACACAAGTTATCTATTTTAAATGTTTTAAATTAATTTAATATAAATAAAGATTATAGGAATTTAGTTTTACTGCCATTTACGAGTATTAACAACTCTGAGTATCTGAGTAAAATGCACCTTTTCTGAGTACCAATCAAACTTAACAGCTGACCAGTCAAAACAGGTTCAGGAATAGGCTTGTGTCTCGCAAATACATGGTCATCCCACAAACGCATGTGTTTACGTATGTTTTTACACTGCTGTATTAAGGGACCTTAGCAACAATAAGCATGGGGGAGGGGGTGGGCTTAGATGAAAGGTCAACTGCTTTGATCTGAGTCTCCACTGGAAACAGATAACTCCCGTGATCCTTTTAAATGAGTAATTCAATGACATTGTATTATTGAATGTTTATTATTCATTATTATAGCACTGATGGATATTATTTACATACCTTTTAGACTATGCTTGTGTAAGGGACTATGTGGCATATCTTCCTTTGATTTATATTGTGTGAGGTGGATATCCCTGAATGTGAAGAACCCTTTCTTGTATCCCTTCAGTGTTAATTTCTTTGGTCTGAAAAAAAAAACACATAAATTTCTATATGTTTTTATATATATAATTATTATATATTACAAAAAAAAAGGTCAATAACTGAAAAATTTCAGATATATGAAAACAAAAACAAAACAATATTTACAAACAGTTCAAATAAAATGATACTTGATTGAAAAAGCTAATTTAAAAAAGATTCTGGATTCTGTCTGCCTCACGGTTTGCACCACTGCAAATTTTGCTTTGAGAGCCTGAATTATCCATTGCTCTTTTATATTTGCTCTTTTATATTTGTTACATACTTGATTAAATAGCTGATATTAGTGGGTGTTACAACTGATACAAAATAAAACTTATTAAGGTAATCTTTCTTTATAAAAAAAAACGTTGTGATTCTAATACTAATAACAAGAGGTGATCCTCTCGAGAAGGGCCCCGAATGAATAATAAAAACTTTGTTGATCTTGGCTTCTGTCGATAAATAGAATGGAACAATTTGCATGATCCTTCCACATGTAACATCCTGTCTTAGACAACCACATAAATAAACCTTTTAATTATACATGTTTACCTTCCAATCCTTCCTCTCTCCAAACATAGTAACAGTTAACGTGATCATATTTGTCAATTAAATACTAATGATACTCAGAAGTACCTCGATAACGTCATCAACACTTCCTCCTCATCTGTAAACTAAAGATTCCTCAATGACCAATATGGATTTCTCATCTGTCTTGTCTACGTCTCTTCCCTTATCAATTTTTTTACTCATTAAAAAATAGTTTAATTTAAGAATCTGTCACAAGAAGACCCTAAATTTCTAAACACAAAGATGAGGCTGCAAGATGGGAGATAACATTAGGGGGAAGGGGGAGCTGGGGGAGAGACGGTCACTGGAATAAGAATAGTGCTGGGGTGGAACTGTGAATCAGTGGTTAACATTCCCACATTCTAATCCCAAGCCCTACCATCTCTAAGTTGGGATTTTTTTTTTACCAAAAAGAAGCTAAAAATAAATTAAATGGTGTCAAAGGCAATTTTTAATTTTAACCTGTAATTGATAAATTTAACGCAATAATTATGGATTTTAGCCTTGTGATTAACATTTTGTGAAGTGAAGGATAATTGGCAATAAACCTAAGAAGTAGGCCTAGGCCGACGGTAGCAAAAAAACAAAACATTGCGAATCAACTGACCTTGATTCTGAAGTGTCCCAGTACCTGAGCAATTCAATAATGTTTTTTTCAACCTTATTACCTTATTATTATATTATTTTGTAGAGTGTTTCCAACTATCAAGTTCTCTACATAATTCATCTCCTTATAATGTACCAAAACTCATGTTTTTATGGAATTATGTGAGTAAAATAAAAGTGATTTTGAAATATGATTTTTCTAAATAACAGGATAATACAGATGGGATGAATAGGTTATCGATGTTAAGATTACGACACAATGTTATTGAGGTCTGAATAACAGGATCAATTAAACCAGAGAGGAAGGAAGGAAGAAAATAAAGGTGTCATATAACATTGAATGAATGATAACAAGATTACCTTACTTATTTTTAAGAAATAAAATATCATCCTTAAGATTATATAATAGAGTAGTTTATTATTTCCCAATGTGTGTACTATCAGAAGAGATATATGGCATAGATTGTAAAGGAAATCGCTTAAGTTGGTTTTACCCAGGTAAATAATTACAAAGGAGGCATGAGTCACTAAATTTGCCATGATATTAAATGAATGTGCTATAAGAAATTGAAGAATGATCTCTTTTACCTCAAGTACTTGAATTCATCTTTCAGTTCAGGGACATTTGTGATATCATGCTAAAGAAAGAGAGTGGAAACATCATTAACATAATATACGGCAACAACTCAAACAAGTTTCTGCAACTTCTGATATAACTTTCCCCTCTCAGTGGCACCAACTTCTTCTAATTACTGACATCCTGCATCCCACCTCACCCATCATCCATAACAATCTCGGATAACCAATGACATGACATCGCCTTTTCTTCAAATTCATGCATACTGCCAACCTCTTTATTAACCACATTATTTTATAAGGAATTGTATTTGATGTCAACTGCCAAACTCTCTGACATCCACTGTCAACTACTATATTTTAGTTGACAGTGTATGCCTCTTCACATTCCCTCCCAAACTTTTGATGTAAATTGCTAACCATTTTCTTCCCACTTCAAAATTCGGATATAAATATATTCTCAGACATCATTCGTCAATCACTTCTTAACAACTACTTACATGTGAGTAGGAAGAAATGTTTGTTCCTTGAAGAGTTTTCTCAAGATCCAAAAGATCAGCATCAATGTCATCTTTACCGTTCTTTGTATTCATGTCTGTCTGTGGCAGGATTGACTGTAGATTAATTTGAAGCTGTGGAAGATACACAGAGCAACCAGTGAGATCATTTTCATCATTGGCAGCAAATACTGCAGGAGATAATGTTACATATTTAATACATGAGATGGTTATGTGTACTGCAACAATAAAATACACAGCAAGTGATAAAGCCAATTGTTGAATGAAAGTATGAACTCCTTGGACTGAACCTAACACAATTTCCTCTAAATCTAAGTTTTCCTTTTTGAATTTGGTATGTAATGATGTGGATTAAAATGCAAAATAAAGAAAAATTAAAATTTTTTAGTTTTTTTTTTTACCAAGGCAAAACTTACTTAACAATATGTTCTACAAAAACAGAGACGGTTAATAAGGAAGCATACCAAAGTTTAAAATTATTTATAACTTTTAAATTTCTACACTAAATATTTATAATAGGCCTACTTGGTAAAAATCTAATATATGTTCACATCAATTTAATCACTGTTAGTCAAGATATAGACACATGTATTTGTGCACATTCATGTAGCAAATGTAGATTATAAATACCACAGCACAGTCAACAACATCGGCATTTATTATCCAATATAACCCACGACTTACTTGTAACGCAGCAAACATAACCATTTCTTCCTCAGTGCAGTCAATCTCTTCTGTCAACAAACCCCACTTAGCTTGCTCGTATATCTGGTTGATGCGGACGGCATCTTGTTTTGGATCGAGATCGTAGAACGAGAAGTACTTGTAACGCATCATCAAAGTGTCATTATCGCGTAATCCTTGCTCCATTAGTGATTTCGATGAGTCCAACCATCTGAGAAAATAGAAAGGAATAATACTTATGGTTTGGAGAGGATATCATCATGTCGTTTAGTATTGAAGTTTTGTTTTTTTCGCTTTTAAGTTTTGTTTTTCGCTGTTCCGGAATGTAATATTTTGCCTTACAATAGGATTTTCAAAATAAATGAATTATAAACTTTATAACTATATTTATTGTCATAATATTATTATTAATCATTATATCTTGGATTTTTTTAAATAAAATACAATAAACATTTTTTACTTAAAGGTTTTAAACTTCAAATTCCACAAAATGAAGTCCATTATAAGCTTGTGTCCTTTGGCAATGTACGTTCTATGTTTTTCTTTCTTCATACAGAATTATAAAAATTTTTAATATCTAGTAGAATGAAAATGTTCTATGTTGAATGTATTTTGCCTATGCTGATTATTCATGCATGACAAGGAACATTCCACAGAATGTAGGGGGTTGCACATTTTGTATGTTGTCCAGGATAATAATATTAATGTGTAGCACTTTGATATAAGTATGGAAACACCACAACATATAAATACAGACATAACTTGTATTCCTTAACAAGTAAATACTGTAATATGGATGTACATCTTTGAGCTGTGTTCTTGAATTATATAAAAAAAAATATATAAAAATTGTTTCATAATAAACATCAACATTGAAAATTGGAGAAAGCAGGATAAATAACCCCGAGAAAAATGTCCCAACACTTGGAAGACAAATTCCCTCAAATTCTTTATCTAATTAGAAATACAGTAGGCCTTTATAATATGAAGAGTACATTATGAAGTAGACTGTTCTATTATCATAACAGGGTATTCTCTACTAAGACATAAATTGTATTATTAGATTGTTTATACTAGCAGAATTCACAAAGTACAGTACACTACTACGGTGTTTATTTCCCCCTTTTGTTGCTACCACCCTGAATACAATAAGTATCAACTAAAGCAGCCTCAATAGTTACTAAGAACTGCTTACGCTTCACCGCCTACCCACATAAACAAAAGCGCCAGATTCCTCAGCCTCGCTGCCTTGCTCAATTTCCATAATTAATCTGCAACACTAACTTACAATTCCTGAGAGCAAAGAAGCTTCGGACAAGGCAGCGATTGTAGACGCATATGGGAGCTGATTCATCATTTATTTACTGATGTAGAAATGGTTATGAATTTATCATCACAACGATCGCTGGCCTGCCTGCTGGCCTGCTGATGGACATAAAGGTCAAACAGAAAAGAACGTTGTAAGGGATATTTAGAAACATTACACAATCCATTGAAAAAAATATGTCCATTTATAAAGCTACTCAACCTTAAGCACATTTACAATTAGCTTGTCAGAAATAATAACAATTCATAATTAAGCACTTGACAATAGTGTTCAATATCAAATGTAAACAGTCACCAGCAGCGGATCTACAATTTATAAAACAGCAGGGTGACTGATGTTGTCTACATTTCTGAGTTTACTTCAGTAACTAAATTTGTAATTTTCCGTCAAATTGGAAATGGTGCACTCCCTATTCAAAATTTGTCCTAGTGTGAACTTAAATTATTATGACTATTCTTATGAAAATAACAAACACAATACCGTAAAATGAACTGAAGCCCTGGGCTTCTTTTTTTGCGAACTTTGGATGGACTTGTTTTCGAAATGGCTTTCTTTTCAAGAGATGGTCTTCGTTTCGAGGCTACTTTTGCAAAGTAAAGAGGGAGGCTCCTTTTCAAAATGAATGCTGTAAATTTTAGGCCGCTGTAACATCAATCTATATCATGGAGTGTATTAACTGGCATTGAATCACAAAACCAAGCGTGTCTTTAATTTACTTTGTTTCTTTAAAATTCATGTGTACAGTGTAAATACTCGAAAAGAAGCCTATGCTATATTGAAAAGAAGCCTATGGGCTTCTTTTGGAGATGGGCTTCTTTTTGAGCCTAATTTTGCAAACTAAAGAGGGGCTTCAATTCGAGATAGGCTTCTTCTAGAGATTAAGCCCATTGGGCTTCAATTCGAGGTTTTAAATATCAAATGACAGCAACTACACAAAGTTCCTTGTTAAAAGTATGCAATTTAAATATTGAATTAGATTTTTATTAAATTTTATTATATACCTTGAATGTTAAATATATTATTATGATGTACAGTTTACACACAGTAACCACACTCACACACCATTGAAGTGTACCGTAAACAAAACTACTATACTAGTATGTCATATTGCGACTGATAATTTGCATTGAAGTTTTTCTGGGTCATAGATGAAACTTTATATTAATTTTTTTACTGTATACATTTGTGAGGTTTCTACAGCCTGGTTCTCACGAGTGCCATAGTATCCGGATCGGGAGCTAACCGTTAGCGCTAACCGTTAGCACCTGCGTGAGAACACCCGATCGGTTAGCGCTAACCGTCAGCGGTATCCGGATACGTTAACGGTTAGCAAGCGCTATCGGTTAGCAAGTTGAGAGCGTTTCTATCATCAACCAATCACACATGCGCGTTTACAATTTCCAGTTTCTTATTGGCCAGTGATTTGATCGTCATATTGTTGGTATCCAGATCGGGATTTTCTCACATGGACGGACGACAGCTAACGGTTAGCAGCATCCGGATCCTGCTAACCATTAGCTGCTGTGTGAGAACATAGCCTTTCTACTACTACTTGTTGTTGAACTGACATAGGAAAACACCATCATCATTATAAAGAGAAGAGGAAGAGAGTAAAAGGTCTTCTTCTGTATACACTGAATTAAAATACTTCCTGGATTTGATTGTGTTAGGAAACAGCAATCCCTTTGGGCACTGACTGTGTTGCTGAGGTGTGTATTACTGTACAAATTCAGCTTCCTAAATATTTTACAAGAACCTACCAAGATGTGATTTATTGTTAATTAGTACGTACATGCACCCATCTAAAATGCTAATGACATAACAAAAGTTGTACTCTACATGAAGTTGGTTTTGCTGAGCTATAACAATTATAATTTCACTGATTATATGATGAAAGAGAAAAATGTAATGTCATGTTTAATGTAGATCAAGTTGAATACTGTATGTATACAAGCATGGAATGAAACCAATACGCACCTGCACCCATCTAAAATGCTAATGACATAACAAAAGTTGTACTCTACATGAAATTGGTTTTGCTGAGCTATAACAATTATAATTTCGCTGATTATATGATGAAAGAGAAAAATGTAATGTCATGTTTAATGTAGATCAAGTTGAATACTGTATGTATACAAGCATGGAATGAAACCAATACCTCATCAACTACTAATGCACATAATAAATGTTCATATATTTCCTGTACAAGATGAAATTGTAATCATGAACAAATATTCTAAAATTCTTATGTACTTATAATGTTAACATAACTGCCTGAAAATCCATTGTCAAGTTGAAATAGTTAAGAAATCAAGAACTGTTCAGAAAATTATTTGTCAATAAATTTAAAGAGATAGTGAGATTTGTATCATAGCAAAACACAGACAGAAAAATAAATGTGGGCTCACAAAAAAAAAAAAAAAAATATCAGGCATTCTGGTCACTCTGCAAACTTTGTTTATGCAACCGACGAATGATTGATTATGAAAGCGCTAACAAGACATCAATTTAAGACCAAGCCTACGCAAGATGATATCGAAAATGAACAAACATTTGCGACAGACATGTACTAATACTATATCATTTACAGTAAAAACACTATCATAGTTGTCATATATTAATTTAGTATATTTCTCTATGTTCATTATAAAAAACACTGACATTTATTTGAATTACAAGCAGAAAATTTTTTCTAAGAAACACAAATATGCAGTAACCTCTGGGATCCTCTAAAGGAACCCAAGCCATCAGTGTGGTAATATACCTAGTATAAGTGGTACTGTATTGGGGAAACCACAAAAAAACTGAAACAAAACATTACATTACTATACCTGTGTAAAGATACTGTATACCGTTTGTATAAATAGAAAGAGATTTTCTAGGGGAAACTTCAAAATTTCTATTTTTCAAATTATAACTCAATACAGACAACATATATTTAAAAAAATTAATGTAGAAATTAGATTCAACTTTTAGTCAAATTCTGGGGTAATAATGGGAAAAAGTAATAAAGCGGTCAAGGAAAGTATGCCAAATGATGACTGGACTAGTCAATAGTCCATGACTGATCTAAATACTTGCCCCTGACCGGCATTTACCATTTCCATTTATCATAATCCTTTGCTTTCCATTATCTCCTGTCCATGACCATACACTTCTATGTCTATTTAAGTTCTACAAATGAGTGACCATCCATCACTTGATATTGACAATTCAAATTCTTTGACCATGTCCATATCAATGCCAATTCTAATAATGTGTGTACTTCTTTTACTGACCGTTCCAATTATTAACAAATTCATTCTAATTACATGCTTGGAAACAACAGCCCTTCATTCTATCAATCCTAATGAATTATCAATGGTAAACTTGATAGCTTCATAATTAATTATACATATCCATAACATTATAAATATTTATATTAATTCTCTGATATCAAAAACACCTATGAAGGTTGGTAATGCTTCTACAGTAAGTCTTCTTTTCATATATTAATTAGGATACAGTAAAAGTTCCATTATTACTATTTGAATAATTGAAAATTCGAGTTGAATTAATGGGGAACAGGAAAAACCAAGGGCAGTGCCAACTCCCGCTTTTTAATGGACTTTTTGGGCGCGTCAATCAAATCTAACAATCGACCAATCAGAACATGTTTGTTGTTCCACAAACATGTGTTGTCCCACAAACATGTGGGCTTGCGTATATTTACGCTGTCAGTTTTATGGGACCTTAGCAATAATATCCAAAGAGCGGGGCATAATGGAAAGGTCTATGTGCAGTACACTGGAGACTACCAACAAATAGCGTACAGTACCACACAGGATCAAAGTCATCTATTTTAACATGGTGCAATAACATTTACTTCACAGAGCACTAGTTTG